GAAGCCGATTTTGTGCCAATTAGAGGTCTTTCCATAGACAGTGCTAGTAATAAACATTTGCCTTTGACGGGCAGAGAAGAGTGTCTAAATAAGTCCTGTGTTACTGAGATTTTTATTTATGGCAGCTGTGTAGACACACCCTTTTGGGTCTGGGCCTGCAGAAACTGAGGTATACTGTGGGAGAAGAGGAAGATGTGGCCAACAAGGAACTTGGACTCTTGGTTGAGCTCAGGACAGGAACATGAGTGCCACAGAGCTGCTAGCTGAAGCCAGTGGCATGTGTGTGATCCACCCCACCAAGCAGCAGGATATGGAAGGCAAGCATGGACAGATCCCCGTGGGGCTGGGGACCTGCATCAGAGAGGAGCCCCTGGGAGATCCCCTGAGGGCAAGGGCAGTCAGGCAAAGACGTGGCCACGTGGAGAGGTTCAGGGGCCAGTGTCTGTCGGGCCATGATGTCCCAGTCAGGAGCTGACATTGCTAGAGGACAGACCAGTGGCAGGAGAGCAGGGCATGGGGGAAGGCAGGAAGGAGAGGGAAGATAGTTTGTGATATTCCCCTGTAGAGGAGAAGGGAGGGGGTTGACGGAGAGAGGTGGGGCCTGAGGCCAGGCATCTGATAGTATGAGTGAGTGAGGCTTCATGCACACCAGCATGAGGCAGGAAGGAAACTAGAGTGGAGGAGGCTGGAGATATTGGCGAGACCTCTGGGAAAGCGGGATGGTGGGATGGGGCCAGGTGATGTGGCCTCCGAGAGGGAGGCCAGGGAGGCAGGAGGACTGCAATGTCCTCCTCCCAGCTTCTGTTTTCTGGTGGACTCGGTTCTGCATGACGGAGGGTAAGACCCGGAAAACTCTGCTCCTAGTCTCCTCTCGTGCCCTCTGACCTCAGCCCAGTGTCAGAGCTGGCCAGCCTAGATGGTCTGTAGGTCTAGGCTGTTGGGAGGGCCAGATGCAACCCTGGCACACCAGGATGTAGAGCTGCCAGACATTCCCCACCTCAGCCCAGAGCCCCTTCCGCTTAGAGCCAGCAGCCCTGTCTCCTCGGTCAGTGTTGACTCGATCGCAGTCAGCGTGGTTCTATAGCGAGGTTCTTTAGTCCTCGGTGACTGGGAGAGTTTTGTTTTCTTCCTTCACATTTCCAACTGAACTTCACACAGATGGAATCTCTTGTAATCCTGTAAGGCCAAACACGGAAGGGGAAGAGCGCCAAGGAGGTTGGCCAAGAGAGTGTTTTAGTGCAGATAGAGCAGTCTGATTCCGCCTGACATCTTGATAATCTTTCTGTACTGAGGTAGGGAGGTTCCAGTGCCAAGGAGCTCTCAGACTTCATTCCCTCAAAAGACACTCCAGTGCCTGCTGTGGGCCAGACACATGCCCAGTGTGCCACCCCTCAGGACCCTGGAGACAGGGTGGCAGGGCTGGGATTCAGAGTGAGGCCTTTCTGCTTGAGGCCTTTGGTTGAGCCAGGCTGTCAAAGCACCTCTCAGACAGTGTTGCCCACTGCTGAGGCTTTATTTTAAAAGGTACCTAGTCTCCTAGTGTACGAGGCTCCCTAGAGAACTGCCAACTCCCCCGACCCCAAAACAAAACCAAAACAAAAAACAAACAGCCCAGCAGTGTTTAAATGAAGGTCTCAGAGATGTTCGAAGTGAATACCTTCAGGGCAGATATGTGAAATACCTGCCTTGACTCTTGCCTGTATAACTTTTGGTGAAAAGATATATAGAAAACCATTTCAAGACAGTAGTGAGGGGAGAAGGAAGGAGGCACTTGGTGTTGGAGCTGATGCTGAGCACAGCTTCTGCCACACTCACTGCAGTGTGGACCCTATTGTGGGGATTTATTATGGCAATGACATGTAGTTAAAAAGGAGGTTTATTTTGGGGTAACTTACAGGCAGTAAAGGGGTTGGTTACGGGATCTGGAAGAGGTGAGGTGCAGTCCAGTGGGGTTCTCAGGAGAACTCTGCTTGGTCTGCCATCCAGCATCCAGGATCACGAGGAACCAAGAGCACCTGCAGGTCCAGATCTCAGGTCTTAAGGGCTCCCGTCTCAGCCCCACCCCAGGGGCAAGTCATAAGTAGGCATGGCAGTTACCAGAAGCCTCACTAGGGGTAGTACTTCAGGTCAAAGCTGGAACAGCTACCCACTACAGTACCTGCCACCACTAGGGAGAAGACATCTGTGTCAAGTGCCCACATGGTCTAGGCATCTCATGTTCCTATGTCCTATGAGACTAGAAGTTCTACAAAGAGAGACACCATGCCACTGGGGTGTGGACAGTCTAACTGTGGATCTGTACCACTGACCCTCCAGGTGTCTTCCCAGGTGTCACGGTGCGAAAATAAGAACATGTAGTCTAAATTAAACACACACACATACACATGCATATGCACATGCATCCTTCCCAAGCACATGCATGCACACACCTACTGCTGCTGCTGCTGTTTATTTTTGAATGCAGGAAAATATGGAAGGAAACACCATCAGTCAGAGACTGAACACTAAGCAGTCTAATTCCTCAACATTGTTTAAATGCACTGGTTTTATATTTGATTATAACACACAGTTTCTCAGCATTGACGTTGGGGGTCCCAGGAGAGAGAGGCCTTTGTCTTGACGAACTGTAACAAGGGCAATAGTTACTATATGCTTAATGGTGTGTGTGCGCAGTGGGAAGTTCACCTTTGAGGCAGGTGAACTATGTATGCGCTGGAAATGAATCCAGGTACATATTCCAGGCAAGGTGCAGACAGCAAATAGGCGACCCTTACAGCACCGAGAGAGTCAGTCAGGTGTGATTTTGAGAAGTGGAGTCACAGCACAGACAGTGAACACTTGTTACAATGGGATGTGGTCGAGGTCTTTATGAGAAAAACTGCAGGAAGGGCCTGTGCACGGGCCGCCTGTGTGGGTGCTGCTTGTGCGTCTGCTCCAGGGGCGCCGGCACACGCTGGTATCTGTTAGTTGATAGCATTGTCTTCAGACTTGGGATCGAAAATGGCGAAGTTGAAATGGACTTGACCGGGTCCTGGCTCTCTGCCCTCATGGGGTGACAGCGGCTGCTCACAGACGGGAGCAGCCAGGAAGAGGTGTGTCTCAGCTCCTGGTTTTCAAGTGTCCCAATGTCCAGGCAGTTCATCTTTCAGCCAAGCAGGCCACAGTTTGGTTGCGGCTGGCTTCCCATGTGTGGTTGGCTGAGACTCAGCACTGGGTCCTGAGATGCCCTGATGATTGCTTGCTTCAGACAGAACTGTCCAGCCAGCAAGTTTTTCCTTTGTCTGTTTCCACTTTCCCAACCCCCGACTCCTTGCTACATGTTTGTTCCAGCTGCTTGGCAGCTGGTTCTCACTGAAGATCTTTAAAATGTTCCAGGTGCATATTTTTTTTTTTAAAAAGTTGCTAATAAGGCAGAGGCCTGGTAGGAATCAGAGGGTCTTAGAAGTCTAGGTAAAGAACGTCCCTTCCTCCCTTCTCTGTCAGGGCACCCAACACAGAGTACCCAACATCATTTCATCATGGCCTTGCCTTGGTCTTCTTATAGCCTCCAACCTGTCCCTGGTGGTTCCTAGGGCTTTGTTGGCCTTTTAATCAAGGAGTTGAAATAAAGGCTCACACAGGTTACAACAGGGGCAGGGAAACTTTATTTGGAGCAAATTAATCGTTCACTACAGGAAGAAACATGCGTCAAGAGTGAATAGGGAACTCAAGATCCCCAACTTATTTGGGGCTTCCTTTTATGGGGTTCAAGAGGAGTTTTGTTGCTAAGGGCTGTAGCGTGGGTGGTTCTCTGTTTTGATTGGCCAGTTTGCATTATGTAAACTTTCATTCACTGTACGTGTCCTTTCCCATGATGCATCTGAGTTTAGTCATATGCCTGCCTAATTATGCACAGGCATGGGATGGTAAATAAGGGATCCTCCCCAAAAGTTCACTTAGAGGACACAGTTTGTGTTATTGTTCAGGTACTTAAACTAGTTCAAACTGGATTAGGCCCCCAGCCTCATACCTGGAAATAATTGAAATGTGATTTAGTAGAATCTGTCTGTCTAATGGTCATTGAATGGCAGGAGAAACTTACTCCATTGTTCAAGAGGGGAGTGCTTCAGCTCAGTAAAGGCGGGCGCTCTAGCTTGCTGACAGTTCGCTAGGGGATTGTTGGGGAGGGGTGTACAGTACATGCAGGTGTGAGGTCTTGGGCTGTCAGGTGCAGTATTAAAAGAGGGGCATGTCCACAGCCCTTACCAAGTAGAGTCCTGGGTGGCTGAACTCTACTCTGTACTTGCCTGTCCCTACAGACTGCACACAGGTGCTCCTGTTATCCATACAGGAGCCAACCTTGGTGACAGGTAAAAGTTAGCTACTTTGAGTCATCACGTCACAGTGCGAAGCCTGCTGGGAAAGTAGATACATGCTCCTGCACTAGTGGGGCCTTTCTCTCCTGTCTCCCGGGTTTCTAAAAGATAGAAGGGGTCGGCTTCAGGAAGGAGTCCCAGGCAATCCCAGAAACATCTCTGGTTGTTGAGGGCTTGGCCTGGGACTTGGCCTGATTCTAAGAATGGCGGATGTCATGTGACCAACAAAATCTGAGATTCCTCAACTAGATTTTAATTTTAAGGTATCCTAGATCCCTAGAGCCATATCCAGGACAGGGTGAGTCCTGCTGGTTTGAACACTTAGGCCCCTCTCTAATGGTCTAATCTGTACCATAAGAAGGCCTCTTGGTCCCAAAGAAGCTGGCAGAGTGACAGCAGTAGATGTTTTGGCCCAGAACTCTTGGGAAATAGGGCAGAGTTGTAGGGAGAGTATTCCATGTCTCTGCCTCTCTGAGCCTGCCTGTGTGTATCCCCACCTCAGACCCGGACCTCCTGCTCCACCTAGTGCGTTTAGGCATAGCCCAGCTTCAGCCCTGCCCATCTCCGTGGTCACCTTACAGCCAGATACCTGTGTGTTTTGCATCCTGACTGAATTCCTGTTGATACCGACTCTGTGCTTCCCAGGAATTGGCCAGCTGCGGATGGAGTAAGAAGGAGAAACACAGCCTTGCCCCTAACGTTGTGGCCTTTACCCGGAGGTTCAACCAGGTAAGCAGCATCCCTCCAGTGTGTCTGTCCTCATGGCCGCCACTGAGCCTGAAGCCCCTCAGTTCGATGTGAGCCTCCTGGCCCTAGGTCCCAGTACTCTTTGCTGACTGTCCACTGCCATCCATTCTTGTGTCATCATAGTCTGGTCACAAAGTGAACGAGAACATACCTTTCCTGTGCTGATGCCACTGTACAGAAGCTCTGGTTCCGGGAGGTCAGGGGTGGGGAATCTCTGCTTTCCCTTCTTGCCTCATTTCTCTGCCTCCTTTCTTCTCCAGGCGCCAGTCCTGGTCTGCCCTCTCCGCCATATCTCTGTTCCAGTAGGCCCCCTGTCCCCATGCCCTGTGCTCTTGGCCCAGGACTCTTCTTTCCTGCTTAGCTCTAAGTCAGCTCTTAGCCTGAGGGTCACTTCTGCAGGGGCACCCAGCTGTCTGGGGTCTCCCCATCACGGATCCCCTCATCGCTCCTTTTATTTTCTCCATGTGCTCCGCAGCTCAGCTGTTTTTGTTCTGTGTGTCCTGAGGTCTCTGTGAAGACTTGTTTGTCCTATTCATCGTCCTCCTGTCCCTTCTACCTTGTCAATGTCAGACTCGTGTGTGAAGGACCCTCGGTAGACACGTGTGGGAAAGTGAGTGGGTGGTTAGGAGGCTCTTCTCGAGCATGGCACTTCCCGTGTATCCTGTCCCACCTGGCCCCACACTCTCTAAGCTGACTTGGTCCAGCTAGCTCAGGGTGTTGCAGAATATTTGTTTATACTGTGTGAAGATGTGTCACTGTGATTGGTTTAATAAAGAGCTAAATGGCCAATAGCTAGCCAGGAGACTTCCAGGAAGAGAGAGAACTCTGGGAAGAAGAAAAGTGGGGTCACCAGCCAGACATGAAGAGGAAACAGAAGGTACAAGATGGAAGAGAGGTAACCCACATAGCAGAATATAGATTAATATAAACGGGTTAATTTAAGTTATAAGAGCTAGCTGGGGAAAAGCCTAAGCTGAGGCCAAGCTTTCATTATTAACAAAAGTCTCCGAGTCATTATTTGTGGGCTGGCAGTCCAGAGAAAGTCCAACAAGAAAGCTTGCTATATCCAGGTATGAAGAGCTACCCCCTGCAGTGGAAGATTTGGGCTCCTGGGAGCAAATGAGAAACTGAGGCCAATGGACCGACTGAAGGAACCAGTGCTTCTGATTTCCCCACCAGAACCTCCAGAGCCTGTGCTTTGATAGTAAGCTCCCTAAGGTTCCCTTTGCACAAGCCAGACCTCCACACAGGATTCTTCTCCGTTTCTCTTTCTCTTGTTTTTCTGGTTTCTACTGAGCACAGTGACTTCAAGGTTGCATTATTGTGTGACTGACCCCTGGGTTCTTGGGCCTACATTTCCTTGGGGTCGGTTTCAGCTGGGCCTTCCCTCTCAGAATTGCCTGGCCCTGTACATCACTGTTGCTGAGCCTCTCAGCCTTCTGAAGCTTCTGCATCCATCCGTGGGTGGCAGGAGCCTCAGACAGTCACTGGCTTGTAGTCTGAAGATGGAGGCTGGGCTGCTGGGTTCGTTTGATGAGGTGTGATAGGAGCCGAGAACAGCACAGCTGCCTCTGTGTGGGGGCTTTACAGTTTGTTTGAATAAAGAAGTGATTTCTTTTCTTTCTGTATTGAAAACTTTTTCCTTTTAAACTGAGCTTAATCTTAAAAAAAGGAAAAGAAGCCCAGGGTAATAGTGCATACCTTTAATCCCAGCACTCGGGAGGCAGAGGCAGGAGGATCCCTGTGAGTTTGAGGCCAGCCTGGTCTACATAGGGAGTTCTAGGAGAGCTAGTACTACACATAGAAACCCTGTCTCAAATCAAAATGAAGAAGAAGGAGAAGAAGGAGGAGGAGGAAGAGGAGCAGGAGGAGGAGGAGGAGGAGGAGAAGAAGAAAAGAAGAAGAAGAAGAAGAAGAAGAAGAAGAAGAAGAAGAAGAAGAAGAAGAAGAAGAAGAAGAAGAAGAAGAAGAAGAAGAAGAAGAAGGAGAAGAAGAAGAAGGAAAGCCAGATGTGTACACACTGTCAGAGGATTCATAGTTTCCTTAGTAAAACTCTTTGACTGGAAGCCAACCCAGTCCCACATCTAGGCAGCCGTGGAACTCATAGAGGATGGATCCCTGGGGACTTTGTAATCTGCTTCACACAAGGGTGCCAGGTCAGCTTGGCAAAGTTGGTACAGCCCGTGTGGCAAACAGATGTATTATGTCCATCCCAGACCAAGTGCTGCAGGGATCCAGAAGTCAAGCCATGTTTTCTCAAGCAGAATGCTCCAGGAAATGCAGGCCCATGGAGAGCCAGTAGCTTCTGGACACAGCCTGGGAGCTTTGGCTTGAAAACTGGCCAGATGCCAGCCTTGGCCCACTGCTTCTGACTGCTGTCTTTGGGATGAGCTCACTGGTCCATTTATAAGTGGACTCGAGCCACCTTATCAGACTTATCAGACTCCAGATCAGAGCTAGCAGCCCACTGACCTCTCTGAGCCTCAGCTCCTCATCAGTACCTAAGAATAGCAACAGCACCCACCTTACAGAGCTATCATAAGGGTAACAGGAAGTGATGTCTGGCAGTAGTGGGCTGCAGATGTTTCAGGGGGTTGCAAGGAAAAATCTGAAGATCAGAAGGCTAGAAGGATGTTGCTGGAGGATTTGGGCCCAGTGCAAGTGTCCTGCTCAGTTTGCCTGCTCCTCCGTGGGATCTGAGTGCCTCAGGGCTCGCTCACAGAGTAACAGGATGGTCGAACTCAGCCATGCTCACCCAAGCGCTGTTATGTCTCTTCTGTGTTACTATGAGGACCTGACAATATCACAGCTGAACCCACTTCCAGAAAGTACACATATATGAATTTGCATTTGATTTGGGGATTTGGTGCTGCCCCGAGGTGTGTGCAGGGACGCTGAGTTTGAGCCTTAGCCATAGCTTGTTAGCTCTAGGATAATGGACTGGCTTCTGGCCTCTGCACTCATGGATCATCTCAAGTGGGTTTTGAAGATTAAATGAGAAGCTGTACTCAACCCAGAGGAAATGATTCATTAGCTTCAGAAAAAAGGTGCCGTGGCTAAAAGCGCCTGGTTAAAAGGAAGGTAAAGCAGAAGCGAGGGGCTGAGGCTTCAGAGTGTCCGTTAGGGCCAGCAGTGTGTTCAAGGGGGAGCTGGAGAAATGAGACCAGGAACCGAGGACTGCTGGCATTCGTCCTGGGTGGGGGGTGAGGTTGACACGTGAGGCTGGGTGAAGGCATCTAGGAGTAGGAAGAACACTCCGGAAGGGCCGAATCTGGAAGTGCACTTCAGGAGTGAGGGAGCAGGTGTCGGTGATGCTGCCACAGCAGCTCCGAAGATGGAGGGAGGAGGGAGGAGGGAGGAGGGAGAGGCAGTGAAGTCAGGAGGGTGGTTGTGCTTTGCTTCTTTCAAGTGGGCAAACCCTTGAGGATGCTCGTGCCTGAATGGAGGGGTGCAAGAGGCCAGGGAAAGCCAGAGGTAAGGGGAGGCAGGGAATATGTGCAAAGGCCTAGAGGAGGTAGGGAAGGGAGTCTTGGGATGTCTCATGGTGCAGGATGCTGTCGTAAGGGAGCCGCATCTGCAAGCAACCTATAGGTACAGTACAGGGCCTGTGGCTTTTCTTCCTCGGGTGGGAAGCTTGCTGACCATGTGAGGTTATGAGCAAGTCCTAAGCACAGACGGTGGCCCAGGTGAGAGCACGCAGTAGGTAAAGTACCTCTGGTTGCCCTTGAGCCTGCAGATGGGAGCATGGGGGCAGGTGGGCAGTCCGTCCACGCACACAGGCTGGCCCAGCAGAGCTTCTGGAAGGATTGGGGGGGGCGGGCAAGGGGACTTTAAGCAAAGAAGGGGCTGGAGTGAGTGACAAATTACAAGAACAATCTGCCTAAGAGGAGAAAGGGCTTCCGGCTCCAGCGGACGGAGCAAGGAAAGGGAGAGTATGGACTTGCAGGGTAGACTTGAGGTTTGGGCCTGTGGTGAGAGCATAGGCCTTTTTGCTGTTGGACAGTGTGGAGGAGGTGACAGGGGGCTGGGGGATGGTGGCTGCAGTCAGGGTAGTGAAGGCATGCGAGGCCGTGTTCATCTGCAGAGATGTCAGAGTTGCTTAAGGAGGGAGGGAGGGAGGGCTTGGTGACAAGAGGAAGACAGTGGTCCGTGTGTGCGTGCACACGTGGAGGCCAGAAGGTGAAGTCACCTCTTCCTTTCTCTCTCCCATGGGCTTGAAACTTACCAACTAGGCTGGTCAGTAAGTCCCAGCAATCCTCCTGTCTCAGCTCCTCACAGCTACTCCTGGCAAAAGCTGAATGTGGGTGCTGAAGGCCTTGAACTCAGGTCACCTTGTCTACACAGCTGGCACCGTCACCGCTGAGCCGTCCCCCAGTCCACCGTTCTTTCCCTTCCCCCCACTTGCCTTTTGCTTTGTTGTCATTTGTGGTGACGAAGTGAATAGAGGGCTTTATATTCGCCATCATCTTTTCTGGAACACTTCTGTGGCATTTCCCAAGGGATGTCTTAGTTCACCCCAGCCAACCCCAGTGTTAGCTGTACCTCCAAACAGTAAGCTACGTTAACGATAGTTTGTATGTATTAAAACATAGTCTATATGTGGAAAAGCTTATTTAGTTCCTTGACCAAATGGCCTTTTCAACGTTTCAAAAATTTAGGGTAAGCACTATATTAACAGGCAGAATAAGAAAAAAAAGCATGTAAAATCCAACATTTATCCATGATTAAAAAGAAAATAATCGAGTCAGAAAGGGGGACTTCTTTGACTTTCTAGAGAGATCCACAGAGACTGTAAGCCCAGACAATCCTGAATAGTAAGGCACTGGGCATTAGACGAGGTTGGCTCTCACGCTGGTCCCGTCTAGTGTAATAAGACAGGAACAAAAAAGACATTCGGACAAGAGAGAAAGAAATTGAGGTATTTTTATTCATAGTTGACATGGCTGTCTGGAGGAGATTCCGAAGAAGTCCTCTTTACAACC